AGCATTTGAGAAAGTAGCTGCCATACTTTCTTACTTATAAAAAGTTTAGTGAACTGATTCTTGTTAGTAGACAGTTCGACCTTAATGAAACCGCTTCCTTGCTTTAAAACTACAATTTTTTTTTCTTTTCACTTTATCCTTTTCTACCGTAATCCTCATAACTTGGCTGTAAAATATTGGAGCGACATGAAAGCTGTTGCATATCTGTTTGTGCATTTCCCTGTACCTTCAATTCCTCATAGGCAGCGTCACTTATTGAACTTGCTACTACACGTCACTTAACATGGTTTCACTCTTTGATGCGCTATATTTTTCATGCTTTGTTGACAGAAACTATGTTCTGAATGTGAACAGACAGAAGACTCACACTTTGTAGATTGGAAGGCTGTAGGCTCTGACAAAAACATGACAGGGGTCAGCTTGGATTAAAGTTGAACAAAAAGTCAATGTCTTCTGAAAGCACTCATGCAGCACAACAGTCCTTTTTCCAACCAAAATGTGGCAGAATACACATTCCGCCTCCTTGAAAAGTACATCAACTAATGTTGATATTGGATATGGATATTATATTGGATATGGATATTTCATTTCATTTTTATTTGTCCCGCTCATGGTACGCAAAACCAAATGTACAATAATTGCCACAAAACATGACTCTTCCATTGAGCGAAAAGGAGCAGGGAGAAGAATAAAATCTTATGTGACGTGCCCCTTTCTAAAAAAATAAAAATAAATACAAATAGATGGTCTGCCCTTCATAATAATACTTTTTTTTTTTTTTTTTTTTCTTCACAGCCAAACATAACAGTATCTTAGGATACTAAGAGAAACACACAAAAAAAAAAAACTTATTTCCCACTTGGCGGTTAACGGAAAGAAACAAAACAACACCAAAACATCACATGTATAAGGAAAATAAAAGTGCAACACCCTCATCTGAGTCCTACTGGAGAAGAAGGTGGAAAGCGACACATGATGATGATAATAATAACATATGATATGGATATCAGATGCCAAGACTTTGACTGTGACAATCATGACTTTTAATCTTAATGGTAATATATGTTTTTAAAGGTTAATAATAGTCTAAGAGAAGTGGAAATGTGTCATTGATCAGGCCTTTTTTCTAATAGATCATTATCTGATGAGACATACTGTAAAACTAATCTGAGATGATTCCTGTTGTTTCCAGAGCCTTCTCTCCGTCATAACTAATCTTCCTAATGTTGTCCTAGCACCACACACACACACACACACACACACACACACACACACACACACACACACACACACACACTTTCATATCCAGGTGTCACAGTGGCTTAGTGGCAATCCTGCAGCTAAAAGGTCACTGGTTTATCTCCTGCAACCACTAATGAGTCTCTCAGACAGACACTGTTGTTTAGTTAGTGTAAACACCCAAGTAACGGCATGACTGTAAAAAGCATGTTCAGAGAAGTTTGAGTATTCCCTTACAGTGCAGGTGTACTTCAGACACCTGCAGTGTGGTTTTATATGTCACACAATGTTCTGAATCCGCTTCAGAAGACACCGCAAAGTCTTACAGTTTGCAATACAAGCCTGGTTTTTATGCATTGACGTCTAAAGTTAAATATTTTTTCATGTTCCCTTGAAATGTGTCAACACCAGAGACATGAAGTCCAAGTGTGCATACAGTTTTAGCACACTTATCTAAAGATACAGGGATTGGAACTTTCATTTTTTTAATTTAATCGTTTATTTGAACCGGGACAGTGCACATTAATGAACATTTTAAACAAAATAATGCTTTTAAATGAGCATTATTTGGCATGTGAACTGGATGTATATTTGGACAAAACCTTAACTCGAGGGTCACAAATAACAATTTTCTGGAGCTTTCTAAATCCAGAATTTAGTGTTTTGAGTCTATCATCAGGCACAATTATTATGATTCCTTGTATTTTGTTTTTTACGGTTTGCTTTTGCACAATTCAGCTCTTACTTTTTATGATTTGCAACTAAGACCAAAGCGAGCCTTGATCTAGGAAGGAGCAGATATGTCTGGATCACTGCACACACAGAGATACTCCTGATGTGAGTACAGTAAAGCTCACAGAGGAGTCAGTGCGTGCTCTCTGACAATAGTGTTTGTCCCTGTCCGCGAGGCCGGACCCCCGAGCCTAAGCGCTTTTATGTCAAAAGGTTTGGTGTGTCGTAAGCCCTAACGCTGACCAGCCTCTTCTGCAGCTTTGCTGAGCCATGGGGCTCCCTGCAGCCCTGGGAGTGCTGACTCCAGCCCTGGGAACATGTTTACCGCTGCCCCGCACCCCAGCCTGTGGCATCAGGAGAGGGACCAGGGAGGGGGGGGGGTGGCGTTGGCTAGAGCCACACAATGAACCTGCTGAATACTGTGCTATCTAACTGTCAGTGCTGGGGACTTGAGGTCGGTTGCCAAACGGGCCGGTCAGGCTCTTCATCGGGTGGCAGACACGCTTTCCTTGGCTCACCATTCCCTTATCATAACCAAATGTAACTTGTTTGTCAGCTTTTTATCGACTTCACAGTTCACATCAACTATTCCGTTGCTGGTTGTTGCAGGAAGGATGAACTAAAACACTATCTCATAAAATGTGCCACTCTCTCCAAACAATCTGAACTATTGTGTCGTTTCCATTGTGAAATCTCCAAAGGTATTTCTGTTTGCTTGGGAAACGTGTTGTTTTGAAACCCTACACAAAATGCACAAATATACGTGTGTGTGTGTGTGTGTGTGTGTGTGTGTGTGTGCACACACTTTTCAATATGTGGATGCTTTTCTAATGTGGTCACTGGCCATCCACAGAGGAAATAAGACTTCAATTTGGGCTTTTACAGGTAATTACAATCGTTTATCTCTTGTTTACCAGGTACCAAGTAATCTGCTTCTGGTACAAATCGTTTTCACATCCAGACCTGATATAAGGAGGCTTTTATAATGTGATATAAAATGTGTGGTACACAGTGTTGTTTTTCCAGTACATCTCATCTGATATCATTCTGAGTAATTATTGACTTGTATCCACTGCGGTGTGATAAACCAGTTAAACACTGTTCCAATGAAAGTGTTATTGCCAAGCTGGGAGAAACAAAGCCAGAAGAGCGGCCTTTCTTTTGTCTGCCCTCTCCTAGCTTTTAAAGGCCTCCTTCAGCTGCGGCTGATAGGTGGATCACATTATCTGTGGTCTGATAGGCTGCGGTGCCTCTAACTGAAGGCTGTTGTTGTTGTTGCAGCGGGTCCTGCAGCTATCTGTCTCGCTGATGCTAATCTATGCACAGCAGACCTCTACCTTCTTCTGCTGTTCACCAAGGACAGACGGGGGCTAGGTCCCACCCCCCCCCCCCCCCCCCCCCCCCCCCCCCACCACAGTGCTGAAAGACGCCAATAGGGGGACTTGCTGCCTGCAAGAGCTGGCTTTGAGATGTTGTTTTCACTGAATGCACATTGCCCAGATGGACACACAGATACCACAAACATGCCTCTTTTCCAACAACATTTGCCAACGTTACAGAAAACTATTTTTAGAATTCCTGCAGAGTGGTTTCTCCATATATGGTAATTGTTTTAAGTATTGATTGGAGGGAAAAACCAAGCAAGCAATCTTCTTGAATGGATTGCAGCCATCATTTAGCATACAGGGTGCAATGCATTGCAGTAAATTCAATCATGATCAATGGCAATGTGGAACAAAGAAGGAGAGAGAAGTGATGATGTTTTCTTAGAGGGGGGATTGTTCTCTCTGCTCACGTTTAGGACCCCCTCTCCCTCTTCACGCGTAGCTCCGCCTACCCGTGCTCTTCCCGCCGCCATTGGCTGCTGCGAGGCTGTTTTCGCCTCCTGATTGGCCGCTGAGCACGCCAATCAAACGAGCCGCGACTTATTTACCGAATGTATGAGCGAGAGTGGACGGTATTCTGCTGTAGGGCTGCAACAGCTGACTGCCGAGCACTTTACCCAGTGCCTCAAGGAACAAAGAGAGAAGGAAACAGCCATCAAGAAAACCTTTTTTTACATTTTTATTCCTTTGAAACAATCAAAGTGCAGCGAAGACACGCGATGAGGCACGCGGTCGCACCGGCAGAAAGCGTGGAAAATAATTATTTTGCCGTGACAAACCTGTTAAAGATATGTACCCATTGTGAACGGCTAAGCAAAAAGGTAAGAGGAATAAAAAGGCTACAGGAACAAATATCACCCCTCTGAATATCACTGCTTTTATTTCCTAAACATGACAAAGAGTTTTTGAAAACATTGTCACATTATTGGTGTTTTTAGGCGACGTTTTCCCTTTGAACAAACAAGCTGCAGTGCAGTCTTTTGTGCAGGCTTGTTTACGACAAGAAGAGTTTCAGTCGGTATCGGTCAAGAACATCGTTTCTGGGTTTAATTTCTTTGTTGATTTCAGAATCAAGAATGTAGACACGTAAATGACACATTCAGGTGCTTGTTTTAACTCTGTCATTTGTGAATTATATACATTTCGCCGGTCTTTCATTCATCCGCTTCATTGTGAGCTGCGGGACGGTGTCCGCTACTGGACATGTCTCGACAAGAAGCGGAAAGTTACAGGACGAGATAGAGGCAAAGTTCTGGTTGTGTTTTTAATGTTTTATGAAGGCAACGTTTGTGTTATGATTCCTCATTAATTATGAAGCGTTAGTTTAATTCTGATTTAATGTATTCATGTTTTGTTCAGTTTTGTTGAGTTGTATGTTACTTCCACAATGGCGAAAATCTTAAATCGCCCTTTTGGATTTCTCTCTGTAAACCAGTAGCCTACGGATGACTGTTATTAACTTCATATTTACTGGTGGCAGATAAATGACATTTCTGATTCGTCACACTGGTGAAGCAACACAGTGACATTAGAGAAAATAAATAAAAAGTGAGAACAAATGATCGCCGGCCAGCGGTGCGAAGAGCTTCTCCTCAGCTTTCCTGTGGTATTAAAGTGCATGTTCTCTTTCTTTTTGTCTTGCAGGACTTGGGAGTTAGAATCCCAAGACCCTTAGGAAACGGACCAAGTAGATTTATCCTGAAAAAGAGGTAAGAGACAGTCTGTTAACTCAATAGTGACTCACTTGCAATAAGGACTTATAACTCTAATTTAAAATCAAATGTATTAATTCAACTTGTCTTTTGTTCTGTTAGATTCTGGAAGTCAGTAAAGTGGACGCCAGGACACAGTCGATATTTGAGGATGCGTTTGCAGCCCTAGGTCGCCTCGACAACATTTCTCTGGTGATGGGCTTCCACCCACAGTACCTGGGGAGTTTCCTCCGGACTCAGCACTACCTGCTGCAGATGGACGGGCCCCTCTCTTTGCACTACCGACACTACATCGGCATCATGGTAGGATCCGGTTTTCGCTCTGATATCATCTCTGCACCAACTGTTGTATGTCAAGCTGTTAAACATCTCGTGGTTAACATCTTGTTCTGTGATCCTGCAGGCGGCAGCTAGACACCAGTGTTCCTACTTGGTGAACCTCCACGTGAATGACTTCCTCCAGGTCGGGGGGGATCCCAAGTGGCTGAACGGCCTGGATGAAGCCCCGCAGAAGCTCCAGCAGCTCGGGGAACTCAACAAAATCCTGGCCCACCGACCATGGCTTCTCACCAAGGAACACATTGAGGTGAGAGGAAGGGTCTGGAGGGGGAGGGACATTAAGAGTGTTACGCAACAGGCTGAGATCAGAGGTGGAGGGGGTGTAGCTGCAGCTGTACAACTTTGAGGGGTTTGGGAAAGTGACAGTGGAGGTATGGTGAAAAAGGGATGGGGTTAAGACTGGAAATCAAACATAAATAGGAAGGATGAAAGCACCTTTTCCACTTCTGTTGATGGCATCTTTTTAGGCTCCAGTTGTCAAGACTAACTTTATTTTACATCATTTTTTCCAGCGCCTTCTGAAGGCAGAGGAGCACAGCTGGTCCCTCGCAGAGTTAATCCACGCCGTGGTCCTCCTCACACACTACCACTCCCTCGCCTCCTTCACTTTCGGCTGCGGCATCACGACGGAGATCCACTGCGACGGTGGACACACTTTCAGACCGCCCTCCCTCAGCCAATACTGCGTCTGTGACATTGCCAATGGCAACGGTCATTCCATTCATCACAACGATTCGCTTGGCAACCAGGTGAGTGGTGGAGGATGATGTGTGAGCTGGAGCATGTCAGGGGTTTCTTATTGGGGTGTAAAACTTAAAGCAGAACACCAGTATATTATTTCCATGGCTTAGAGAAATGTAATCTATATTGGTACATCAGATACTTTTTCTGAAAGTATGAAACAGGAGAAGTATAATACTTGTTGATGTCATCTTTATAAAGTGTTGAGCTGCTCCATACACAAAGAATGACGGACTGATTTTTGTCGACACACAAAAAGTCAGTTTTCCTTTTTTAGAAAATGTCCCCATATACTCATTATGAACATTTTATATATTTCCCCATTAATTGTCTATAGAGTATTTGTACTTGATGACATCAAAATATGTAGATTTAAAACTGGGAGTGTTCATGTTAACCAATGTATTTTAACTGTCTTAGCCCAGAAGAATACCAATTATGATTTGATTTTTTTTTGCCAACATGTTTGTAGCATCTGATTGAAAATACTCCTCGTAGGACTTTTCCTGATTTGCTTGCTCTTTGTTTCTGTAGGAGTTGTGCGGCGAGGTGGAGGTGCTGATGGAGCGCATGAAGCAGCTGCAGGAGTGCGACGATGAGGAGGCGAGTCAGGAGGAGATGGCGACTCGCTTTGAGAAGGAGAAGACTGAGAGCATGCTGGTGGCCACAGCGGAGGACGAGGAGTGTGTCCCTTCCAGAGACATCTCCCGACACTTTGAGGACCCCAGCTATGGCTACAAAGACTTCTCCAGGAGGGGGGAGCACGTGCCCACATTCAGAGTGCAGGTAGAGATCAGATACAGCATGGATGTAGAGAGCAGTACGCTCAAACCATGGTCCACATGACTGTTATTAACTTCATATCTCTTGTTTCTGCAGGACTACAGCTGGGAGGATCATGGCTTCTCTCTGGTGAACCGACTGTACCCTGATGTTGGTCAGATGCTGGACGAGAAGTTCCAGATGGCCTACAATCTGACGTACAACACCATGGCAACACACAAGGATGTGGACACCAGCATGCTGCGCCGGGCCATCTGGAACTACATCCACTGCATGTTCGGCATCAGGTCAGTCACTGGACGCTCAGGAGGACATGTTGCCTTTTTTTATGACTTATATTTTGTAACCTGACCCGTTATGTGTTTTCTAACGCTGTGTCTCTCTGTGCTCTTCAGGTATGATGACTACGATTACGGGGAGATAAATCAGCTTCTGGACCGTAGCTTTAAAATCTATATCAAGACTATGGTGTGTAGTCCTGAGAAGACCACCAAACGAATGTATGAGAGCTTCTGGAGGCAGTTTCAGCACTCCGAGAAGGTAAGATCGTGATTCATCCTGGTGTGTAGCAGCTCTTTTAATTCTGTCTTAATGTTCAGTGTCTAATAGGTGTCTCTTTTTCCTCTTGTTTCTCCTGCAGGTCCACGTTAATCTGCTTCTTATGGAAGCGCGAATGCAGGCGGAACTGTTATACGCTCTGAGAGCGATCACCCGCTACATGACATGAAGTGCTTTTGGCCTATTTATCGTTGTCTTTTGACTGTCTTTGTCGTTGCTCATAATGGGACACTTCAAGAAAAAGAAAAAAAAAGAATATAAAAGTGGGGGAAACGTGAAAAGCCCTGGGTTGTGATGGTGCTTGTTTGATGGATGTTGAGAAGAGGATCAGAACAAATTTAAAGAAAATAACTGAAGTCATCTCAGACTGGATACACAAGCTCGTGTTGCCTGCAGTGCCAAAACTGACCAAGAGAGGGCCGCCTGGAGCAAACTCCGGCTCTGCTCGGGGTTTGTTCCAGGGAGAGGTTTCAGTGGTCCAGCATATCTCTTCTGTCTCCTGGTAGAGTGAAGACCCACAGAAAAGCCCAGAAAGCTGTGCAGCCAGAAACAGTCTGCACTTTGATTCTGTTGTCACTGTTATATTTGTTAGTTTCTTTAATATCTTTTTTTTCATTTTGTATTAAGGGAAGTTGTTGTCGATGTGGTTGCTTTTAGTGCTAACTGGAGATGGAAGCATTCACTTTGGGCGTTTTTTTCCCTTTATTTTTTGTATACGTGTGCCTGAACTATCCAGCACAGAGTTCATACGTGCTGATGCTGCTGCTCCCATGTTGTATTCAGCGGGGTCATATTGATCCCCAAATCAACCAACCAACCCCATTTTGTCCCCTAAACCCCCTATCCATTAGAAATCCACTGCATTACTCCCTCTACCCCACTCCCATATCTCAAATGTCAATGTAAGCTAATCTAAGGAGGTGTGGAAAAAAACTCAAAGAACACTGTCTGAGCCCTTTTTTTGAGTTTGACTGTAAACGTGTGGATGAGTTATATGTTCATGATGACTGAGGTGTGTGTGTGTGTGTGTGTGTGTGTGTGTGTTTCCCAGAAATGACGGAGAAAAAAAAGTTTGTCTTTAAATTTTATGTGTCAAAAAAAAAGCGAGGCACTTTGAAGGAACGCCTTCTTGCTTCTGCTGTAGCTCTGTTATTGTGAGATGACTGTTTTATCATTTGTTGATGATGATTTTTTTTTTTCTGGTAATGGGGATGTTAAAAAAAAAAAAAGCTAATCAAAAAGAAAGTTAGAAACCAGGTTTCCGGGGGGGTTTGCTTCCGGTTGCCCTGACCACACATTATCTGTCTTCCGCTTATCCCAGCTGCCTGGTCATCCTAACACTTACAAAGCTTTGGATTGTGAATTTACCAGTAAATGAATACCTCTTCTGTTTTTCTCTATAAAACTTATAAGATATGCTCTTTGGTGAGCAGAGACTCTTTCCGGGCGCCGTGTCCCCTTTGTTTTGGGACCCGGGGCCGACTGCGGTCGATTTTAGCTGTCGAACGCAAAATGTTGTAGCTGTGCTTATTTCCCTGCTGGGGAAGTCTAACCAGTGCGAAAGAAGCTTTTTTTTAAATTTTGAACAGAGGTGTGAAACCTCTGCTGTTTTGTTTTTTGTTTACTAAAACCAGTAAAGTACTGCATTCTTCTGAGGGTGGATTGAGAGTCAGACAGATGAATGAGTGAAGAGGAGGAGGAGGGTGATGATAAAAAGAATGGTACATTTGGAAGTAGTTTGAGAGGAAGTGGAGGGTTTTTTTCTTTCAAACTTCTGACTTATGTCAGTTACTGACACTTTTTATATGAAAATATATTAAAAAGATGAAGAAAAAAAAAACTGATATTGAATTGTTGTGTATCATTCGTAGTTTTCTCCTTAACGATTTGATTTCACTGCTTCATCGAGGAGATTATATTAGACGTGGAGAGGCCGACACAGTTCAGGAATAAAAAACTCACAGCACAATCGGCGTCGGTTCACTTCCACCGTTTGAGTTTAGAAAGTTAAATAATGGTGAGAAGACTCATGTGAAGAGGTGGGGAGTTGTTCCATCACCTTATGCTCCAACGTACACTCAGCTGTTTGATAATGAGGCTGACTTCATCCACAACAATCTGAACTCAGCCTGTCATCAGTAAGGTCCCGGGACTCGTATGACTCATTGAGAACCAGAGCCCTGCCCAGAGCCGTCAAAGTTTCTCTTTGCTCCTGACCAATAATTCGAGATAAGGGGGAATCCCTTGTAGGAAACTTTACCTCTCTTTTCTATATGCCTCGCTATCACCTCACTGGGAAAAACCTTCATTTCCCTGGTGAGGCTTGCTATCTGTCTGAAGTTCAGGGTGTTTCTTATCGAGGCCTGTGTGTTTGTTCTCACTCACCAGAGAAACTTAGTGTTATCCTAAACTGCCTTCACTTTTTCGGTTCCTCCAGATGATAAATGAAAAAGGAAACCTTGGCATCAGCCAGCCGGCTGTCTTTCATATCAACGTGAGAAACTTAATGTGCAGAACAATGTTTGTTATTAGCTCTGGCTAAACAATCATTTGGTGTTTTTTGAAACATCGGCTTGTCTTGTGGGTGTTTAAAGGTCTAGTGTGAAAACTGGGGGAAATGACAATATGGGTTTTTACATTAAGTGCCATTTCTGATTTGTCTCAATGTAATAACTATGTGATTTTGAAATGCTGTACTTTAGGTGTACTTGGTGTAACTTGTAAGCACTGCCTGGCCCCATATCTGTGTAATAAAAAAGGCCATGAGAAGCAAACTCTGTTTTTCCACTTGTTTCTTTATTATGTACAAGTTTCAGTGTCACAAAATCCCTGCACAATAAAACATTTACTTGTTAAGGTAAATTCCAAGTTAGTCATCTGTTTTTCAAGACTACATTATCATAAAAGAACCTTTACAACACAGTCAGCTAACAAAACAGATAACGTCTGTTATATAAATGTGCAAAGAGCTTGTATAAAAGTACATCTGAAGGTACCCAAGTCAAGGCTTCTGCTAGCTTTATGGGAATTAAAGTGCATACAAAGTTAAGCTGTTATTAAGACGCAGAGTGATAAAAAGCTACGCAGAACATGTTTATAGAGACAAATAATTGAGAAACAAAGTATACTCGCATCCACACATACTGTATCATTTATCAGATTTACCCTGCTTCTTTTATTTAGCATTATTTAATTTATCAGACATTTTCAATTGTTTTGAATATGACTTGCTGCTTATCTTTTGGCCTAAAAACGGTCTGCAAAAGGTTTCTAGTATCATGGAAAATCTCACCAATAAATAGCAAAGAGCAATAGTCAGTATGAATTGTGAGAAATTGCCATCATTTTTGCTAAATCATGACAAACGTGTCCTAGAAAGTGTAGGATTAAATGATGCTGCAGTCGTGGTTTGAGACATTTAAAAGGTGTTTTGACTTTTTTTGTCTTCAAAACTAGCAAGAAAATCCACTGACTGAAATGAATTCATGCTGACCTTACCTTATGCCCTCCATTAATAAAGAAAGCTTTCTCTACACCGACAGGGGATACGTGTTAAATAGTGAATTTAGTATAGGTTTTTGTATATGAGAGTTAAAAACAATGCTAAGGCTTCAACCACAACATCCCACAACATTCGTCAGGCTGTCCAATCCAGAGGCTGGAGAGACTTCAGCAGTTTTTGAGCTGCAGGTAAGAACTCTAACTCCCAGCATGCCCTATGGTAGTCCTTGATGTCTTCATTCTCTATCCACCTCAGAGCCTCCTCTTCATCTAAGGAATTGAGAAGATTGGACACAGGATGAGAGAGTGTAGTGAGAGGTTTCAGGTTTTTTTGGATACTTTTAACTGACAGGTTTTATGAACATGGAGGTATTTTGTTCTTGTTCATGGGGATATGCGTTCCCCTCCCTCCCCCCCAGAGGGCCACTTGTGTGAACAACAGCATGTTTTTGCCAGCTTGTCTCCCTCCCTTGTTATGTAAGGATTAGTAATAACACCAACCTAAGTATGTCGTGAGGATCTCCACCAGCGACTCTCTCTCCTGTGTGTCCAGCAGCGTCTCTGAGCCGCCGCCGCTCATGTTCCACAACGCCTGACAAACCTGGCCCGCCAGCTGCCAATCACCTGCTCCGAAGTCTCTCAGACAATCCACAAGCCTGATCTCACACACACACACACACACACACACACACACACACACACACACACACACACACACACACACACACACAACACACACACACACACACACACACACACACACACACACACACACACACACACACACACACACACACACACACACACACACACACACACACACACACACACACACACACACACACACACACACACACACACACACACACACACACACAGTGTGACTCGAGGGAGACGGATTCACATGACCAGCAGGTTTGTGGGCATTAGCTCCACTTCATTGAACCAACATCTGAAGAAGTACTGTGTGTGTGTGTGTGTGTACTCAGATGTTCAAACAATGTTCACACAATAGCCTTTCATCCATGTGCTAAACATTTACACACCTAAATGGAAAATCTAAAATCTGTAATTATAACTTTATTTGTTGCTATACCCACTTGTAGGCTATAACTTGTCAGTGGAGTTGTTACACACATGTTTCTCATTATGAAGAACATATTTTCCCACCAAAAGAAAGTTTACTCTACGTTTCAAAGAGGATGCAACTTTGGCCAAAGACTCAAAAAGAATGAGCTCAGTTTTCTATTTAAGGGTACTGCAACATATTTTAGCCATGAAGGAGTTAGAAAAAATAATAATTCCACTGTCTTATCTGCCCACTGAATATGACGCTAAGGCCATTAGCAGGTTAGCATAAGGACAGGAAGCAGTTAGCCTGGCTCTGTTCAAAAGTAACAAATAAACCCCTGGACTTCTGTTATTGTATAGATAAAACTAACAATATATAACATGTTAATCAGTGGATTTTGTTAGACTGTGTTTCCTTCAAACAACATGTATTTCTTCTTGTTTCCTGTCTTTATGCTAAGGTAAAATAAGCTAAGCCAAGCGAACTATTATAGCAGTTATTAGTGATGTTTTATAGTACATTTCAAGTAATTACCATATTGTGATTTCAATATTATGTATTATGCAGGGTAGATCTGCTTTTACTATATCTAGTCAAAAGCCCTGGCAATGTCTGTCAAATAAAATATGTACTATATGGGTCCTTTCTAAGTGCATAAATCCTTACTTGGCATCAGCCCCCTCCACTGTGAGACTGAGCCTGTTGGGGGGGTCCAGCGTCAGGTTGGTGAGGACCCCGCAGGCTGCAAAACACATCTCAGTGCTTTTTGAGTCGAGCAGCGTCACTACAAACTGGTGCACTGAAGGGAGGAGGGAGAAGAGTGGAGAGAGATGATGATGTGAGGGAGCGGGCGAAGACAAAGCAGGTCAAAGATAAGAAGGCTGCTATCACCAGAGTCAGCAGGCGTGTTTACACTGACAGACGCTGGCCTTGCAGATAAGTCCAGCCTAAACATGACACAACAGTATGCAGAGCTGCCTACTGTACTGAGCACTGAGTCAAGGTACTCGGTGTTATGTAATGTTCTGTGCATGGATGATGTGATTTCTGCATCCATAGGCCTCTTTTTCTCTGTATTACTAGGCTTTAAAGATGTCGGTTTATTCTCAAATGGCATATCTTTCCTGCAAGACTCAATGAAGTATGGCTTAAACAAAAAATAAAGAAGCAAAGTCTCACGTGGCAGTGTTTTGTGTGTGTCTGTTGGTGTTTGTTTCCATCATATACCTTTGTTTTGCATAATAAAGTCCCGTACATCCTTGGACTGTGACACATTTCCATACACACGAGTGGCCTCAAGCATGGCGTCCATACTGGAGCTGAGCACCAACTTCAGCATCACTGAGGGAGAGGGAGCAAAGTAAAAGTAGGAAGAGGGAAATTGAACAAAAAGCAGAGAGAATGAGGGCGAAAAGTGTAAAATCAGCTAAAACTAAAGAAATATTAACTCTCAATGTTATTTGTTTCCGTTTCTATATTGGGATCCGTCAGTTTTTCAGTCTTACACTTTGCGATGGTGAGTTGACTGCGCCTGAGTGCAGAGCTTTCCTCCTGGTAGAAGGACAGGTTGTTGATGGTGGCGGCCACATTCACCATTAACTCTTCGCTTTCCAGCACAGTTTTCAACTCTGTGAAACAAACACAAGAAATAAGAGAATAATCCCCACTAAAAGCAAGTTCAAAAAATATAATTTGTAATAGAGATGTTGAGGTTCCTTTAAATCCTCCTGTATAATTAGAACCAACAGATGGAGCAGGCAACAGGGACAGGCTTTCATTCTGCTGATATATTACTCTATTTATACTATCCCATTATTTTAGTCACAACATAATGCGACACATTATCCTTACATAACTTTCCAGGTCATTTCAATGACATATTCACTGAGAGCTAAAAAAAAAAAAGACCTCCTTTTTAATGACAAACCAGGGGCATCCAATGAAAGCGTTGTTTCCTTTTATGTAAATGAAGAAGATAATGCAATGATTATTAATCCATAAAACAACTGAGACATGGATTGTGAAAACTGGGTTGCTGTCAGAATAAACATGTTGTTTTTTTATATTTCTAGTCCAATGCAAATGCATAAAGACTGATTTACAGCTTAAATTATATAACGATCTAAATAACGACACAGAAATACCGGGGACCTTTTTGCATCTTACATCTTAAACACACTGATGTGCCACCGTGACATTGCCATAAAAGAAGTTGTTATCTCCGGTTTGTTCTTGATATAGTCCAGTTGATCATCAGCTGGCACACAAAGGTCAGCTTGACCCAATCCACCTAGCCGTGACATCGTGAGTGGCTTGGAAACGGTGTGCTCCTGATTCAGCAGCAGATGTAGAGTGCTCAGTCATAAATCGCGGATATTGCGATTGCTGTCAACCGGCGGCTGTGTGTCACACTGAATTTTGTTTTGGTTTCTGACTGGAAATACTGCTTTGTTCTGCCCTCCCCCGCCTCAAAGCTCTGTAATGTAAAGCAGCACTGTCGGTCATTGAACTTGATCAAAACAGGACATAGATCAGCCAGTTTTGCTCTTTTATCCTCTGCAGCGATTCTGTTTCGCTTACTTCTCTTTTTAACCTCTCCCTTAGCACAAATACAATTCCTAAAGTATGGAAGTCTGCTTATGTCTTGCCTTTACTGAAAGGAGGGGAGGCAACTATTTTAAATAACTATAGGCCAATCTCGAAATTGTCAGTTCTGGCTAAAGTGCTTGAACGACTAGTGAGTGAGCAAGTAAAGGACTTTTTATGTATAAATGATATCCTGTCGAAACATCAGTCGGGCTTCAGGAAAAAACATAGCACCATCACTGCCACAATGAAAGTTGTAAATGACATCACTAGTTTTTTAGATAATAAGCAGAGTTGTGCAGCTCTGTTTATTGATCTCTCTAAAGCGTTTGACACCGTTGATCATCGCATTTTAAAACAGAGGCTACTCAGCATTGGCTTGTCCAGCCTTGCAGTGGGGTGGTTTGTGAACTACCTCTCTGAAAGGTCCCAATGTGTACACTTTGATGGGCTCACTTCTGAGTGGTTGAGCATTTCTAATGGTGTACCTCAGGGTTCTGTTCTAGGTCCACTTTTATTCTCTATTTATATTAATAGCTTGGGTGATAATGTGGAGGAAGCTACCTTACATTTTTATGCGGATGATACTGTGATGTATTGTGCAGGTACCTCAGT